CACATGCCGATCTGCCGTAGCACACACCAGCAGTGGGAAACTGATGAGGAAAACTATTGAAGACCAAGACAGTGGACAGAGCCTCACTTGCAATCCATGGCATATAGACGTTCAGGAAGCTGCAAGGTCGCCACTGGGTTGGGCTGACCAGGTGACCAGAACCTCAACGATTTGTCCCACGACCCAGAGATGCACATCTTCATCTCCTCTACCCATACAACCTTCTTTACCTATCACAAACGAATACCAGACATGACAGAACATAACCCGCCCGTAGCGATATAGCAGTATGGCTCAAGAGTACATCTAAGTGCTATATCGCATACAGCCCTCAATTTCAAAACCTCGTCAACACGAGGTAGGTATCTCATTCGACTGGTCTGTTCGTTTCACACTTCAAGAGCTCTCAGCCGAAGCGCAGTATGCGGGAAATTCATTCGGGTCTATCGTCATTCGAAAACGCACATACTCAGAAATTACATAGTTTGCATGATCACTTATTCCTCATCACAAGAGCCTCCTACCGGTGCATCGTGTTGTCCGATCTGTTGATCTCGCTGTGCTTGAAGGTTATACATCTTCACCTTATTATCACATCCAGCTGATATCACATTCGCCCCATCCTTCGTGAAACAGCACGACATCACCGGCGCCTCGTGACCATACCTGAGCGCTATCCTCGTCATAACACCACAACAGACCGTCCCAACCTACGCCAGTTTCGGTGTCGCTTGAATGCTATTGGAACCCGAGGAGCCTCCAAAGGCACTCGTGCTGGCCTGTGTCGTGACTTCCCATATCCTCACTTGCTTATCCCACGATGCAGCGGCCAGAATGTTAGCCGCGGGGGACCATGCGAGTTCGCTGACAGTATCACCAGGGGACTGGGCGACCTCATGACCTGATACAGGGTACGACTTAGGGAGAGGAAGGGAGCTTACTATTGTTCGTATTGGGATTCTTAGGAGCAACCGCGCCACTGCCAAAACCACCACCGCCGAACGCACTACTGCCAAACATTTTGCGGCCACAAGTGAACAAGCTCCCACTGGAAAGACAGCTCCCATTGGCACACACTGTAACACGAGCGCATCTCAGGTCGCGGGAAAATATGCATAAATGACTTACACACGTTCAGCGTAAACTACGATTTACATCACCAATAAAATTCTAACGATAGCCCCGACCTATTCCGTATCTTTCCAAGGTAACCTTAAGATACTCATGCCAGTCCAACTCTTGTCCATAATAGACCACAGAGACCTGATCTTGGAATCAACAAGGCAACGTCAACGACCTAAAGGAGACCATGGACAACATCATACAAGCCCCCCTCAATGTGATTACCTACACCCGAGCGCGTCTACATCTCATCTATCACGGCCAACATCACACCCAACACGGGGACTGCACGGGCCTCATCAATCCCGAGTTAATAACATGCTGATCTAT